CTTTCCCTGGAGTTTTTCCATTTTTTTAAAGATTGTTTCTCCCTAGAAAGAAAAATATTTTTACCTCCCTCTCCTCCGCAAAACATTTTACAGTCGGTTTGCTGAAAGCAGAGCCCACCCCATGTAAAACAGGCCTACACTCAACATTATCTGGGGCGCCTGCAGAAGTCCAGCTGGTTGTCTCACCATCCCAAAGAGCTTCCTCCTTTCAGGGCTTAGACGTAATTTTTTGTAAACGGTCGTCGGCACCAGCTGTGATTTACTCAGCCGAAGTCCACGGAAAGGAGCTGGTGTAAGTGTGAAGCAGGTTCGTGGGTCCTCCTCTGCTACTGCTCAAAACGAAACAGTTCAGCGGATCGCTTTTGTGTTGAAAAACGTTTCATGGGAACGGAACAGTTGGGACTTTTGCAACGTGCGAAAGCTGGAGCTCTTCGTATTGACTGCCGGCTAAGGTAAAAGTCTAAGTTGACTGAAGATACTGACATTCATAGTCATTCTCTGTGTGACAGGGGATGTTTAACATTGTAAGAGTATTTCAGGTTCTTAATTAAAACGTCTCAGCTATCCCAGGCTAAGAAACATGGACTTATTGCTGGACGTTTCAAAGCTTTCTCTCTACATTTCAGTGCAGAACAGAAACTTTCTGTCCTTAGCTTAGTTTTTAAGGATTTGCTCATTTCACCTGTCTCCCTATTTATGTGCATCTCTGCTCCAGCAATAACTGCCAGTTCCTAGGCTGATTTCAACCAAACTTCAAAGGACGAAAGACAGAGAGTCTGAAACATTTCCAAGTCTGGATTAGACACTGGAAAGTTTGTTATTAATGCTAACCTATCTACTTGGCTGGGTCCTGCAGTCAAAGGTGGCAGCTTGCATAACAGCGTTAGATTTCTCTGCGAGAAGAAAGTCTCGAGTGGAAAAGAAATAAATTTCACAGTGAAATATGAAAAAAAAGTAGTAATTCCATTAAAAATTCAGCCAAGTGACAGAAATACGTAGGAAGCTAGGCTCCATCGTTCTGCTGCTCCTAAACCGCTTTCTAGAAACACCTGAATTTCCATTGGAAGACAAATTCTGCGTGATGTGTCCTCACTACTCAGTGGTATAAGCCTTACGCTGTCGCTATGTTGTTGCTGGGCTGATTGGCTTAAAAAAGCATCAATTATTTTGTAACCAAAATGACTGGGAAAGCTTTCTGTTTTTCAATTGAAGTGAAAGCACAAAGTGCTATCCAGCTATCCACAGTATTTCTAACAGCTGTGCAAAAAAGTGGAGCTCTGTACGTTCCTCCTTTACAATAAAATACAAGGCACAGGAGAAGAAAAAATCACTTTGCCAAACACTGCGCACATGCTAAAGGGCATCAACAAAGCTTCAGCAACACACTCCATGTCCTTTGCATGGCTATTTGCAGTATCAGTCTTGTGTACACCTGTACATCTGCATTAATATATCATGGAAATATCCCAGGCCTGAATTTATTTAGCAGCCTGCCACCAAGACGGGAATGCTTGATCGGAGTTGGGTTATGTTGCTGGTGGATAGTGCCCGTGCGAGCTGAGTCAGACAGCTCTAATGTAGCAACAACCCTCACAACAACCCTCCGGAGTCCTCGTAGCTGGAGTAGAAGAGTAGGGGGAAAAGCAAAGGGAAAACTTGCACCTTTTAAGCATGAAAGAGAAGTGAAGTGAACAGACCAGGCATTTGACTACCAAGGTGGTTTTCTAATAAGATGGCCCATATCCCATCTTGCCTGCAATTTAACATTGTCTCCAGACGCTTCGTATCTGTGCTTACGCACGTGGCCCGGGCAGAGACAGGAAGGCGGCAGCACCAGCAAAGCACTGCAAAGAGGGTGGTCAAAAACATTGCAAGGGCTGCCGAACCCTCTCTCCTCAGGAAGGTAAGAGCAGGTGCTGGGGACCTGGCACTCGTGCATGGGCTGTCATCGCTCTGCAGGGTGACCACGAGAACCACACTAGTGCAGGGACTCACTGCTGCTTACCATCACACTTGAGAAGCCACAGCCTGATGTCCCATAGACTGGGACTACACCACCTTCTGCTGCTCTTATGACTCAATTTGCCCTTATCAGCTGATAACAAGTGCTAACGAGGCTAGGATTTTCAATCTCCCATTCATCAGCCCCCAGGTGCAAGCTCATTAGTTATTATTCATCAGAGAACAAGAAGCTGACGGATATGCCTTATCAGCCCTCAAAGGGTGTTCGTGCTGCACCTGATGCAAAGCAGGAAGCTGCAAAGAGAAGAAAATCACAATTCTCATTTACTGTTACAGTTTCTTAAATTTCTTTTCATCTGCAAAAAAAGGGAAAGAGAGACAGATACTCCAGGGCAACGTAAGACGCTGTGGATTGTGATGGAAGGCCCTTGTAACCTTTGGGATCTGTCCCCAAGACAGTCTTTCCTTCCTGGGATGCTTCCCACTGATCTTAGGGTTCCTAGGTGCCATCACAACGATGGTCCTGTTCAAGAAGAAGTGACCCTAGCGTAAGACTTCATAGAGATACCGTGGACTGCTCAGCTGAGAAGTCCCCAGTGTCTGGAGCGTGACTGTCAAAGCATGACTGTTCTCCATGGAAAAGGAGGACTGTTCCCTCTGCAGCCAGAGGAAGAGGAGAGGGACACAGCAGGGCACAACAGACACAATGCAAAGTAGCCCATCAGCACGTCATGGGATGCGAGTGCCACGAGGCTGATTTATGTACAATCTTCACAAAGAGACGGTGAGTAGAAGAAAGCATTTCCTGTTCTGTGGCTTCAATGCCCCTCCACCTGGCTCACGGGAGGGAAGGTGGGATCAGTTTGGAAAATGGCAGTTTTAAAGTGAATTTTGGCAGCCATCAAAAGCCCTCTGAATAGAGTTGCTTTTCAAAGGTCAGTGGTTCCTCCCAGGAGGAAGGAGTAGAAGGTCTCAGACCAACAGAATGGGAGAAGTTTGACTATGGAAAAAAAATTTGCATTAGGAGCACTGGGTGGTATACAGCCCTATCGTTAAAGTGAAGCGCAGAAACTGCCTGCACATCTTTGCATACATATTTTGCATGAGATATGAAGTATGTCTGCGTTTGATATCTACACTCGTATGGCTGCTCATTTTGCACACCTGATTTCCATACACATAAGGGACGGTGTGCACAGAAGACTCTGTCTGTGCAATCACATTCATCAAAATAAACTTCAGTGATCTGAAACCATAGTTTGCATCACCATGTTTTTGAGACCTATATAAAGCTGCAGAGCTGTCTTTCCATCAGTGTTGATGTGAGAGGTGAGTGAAATAAAGCAATATAAATTCGTCTAAACTAACACCACCTGTGTTTCTAATACTAATACAAAATTCAAAAGTGGAAATGTAACTTTATGACCAGTTATGATTAATGGAACTTAGAAAGTTTTAGGGAAAATTTTTTTTTTGAATTAACCAAGTTCGAGCTGGGACATTCCCTCTTTATCTTTCAAGGTAGTCATCAACTAAATGGACACACAAATAAAATAAAAAAAAATCTGGTAGAACATCGCTATGACACAATAGGAAATGTCTGTGAATGTCTTGTACATTTTCTTATTACAATATTACTTAAAAATAACATAACAAGTAGAGTCTTAATAATGAGAAATTAGCATCAAAATGATGCTTACCATTGCTTCATTGATCCTTTAAAATACAATCACCTGCACAGCATTGTAAGCACATATAAATACATTCATCCTGCATTCACGCTCCCCTCTGCACCATTCAATAGATGCAAAAGGCCTATGTTCATTAGCGGTTACTTGTACCTGGTTGCACCCGTACATAGAGTGGAAAAATGCTCTCTAAGCCGTGTTTCTTGCTCATTGGCAGGGTACAGGCGTGAGAGGCTGGAGGCAGACACGGCAAGTCAGGCTCGGCATTGCTCTCGCCCCTGGGGTCCCGCAAGCTTGAGAGCACTGCAGCATCCCTCATAATACTCGTGTACAGTGCGGTGGGAGAGACAGCTCTTTTTTAAAGTTTGGCTGCTGCTTTACAGCAAACTGGAAGCAAACCAGAAAATAAAAGCCCCTCTGCAACCTACTACTGCAACCACAAAACCTCCCCAGGTAACATAAAGCGAATGAAAATTCCTTCCCCTTCTAGCCCTTCCCACACACGCTGTTCAAAAGCAGATTTCTTCAGTGCAAAAATTAAGAAGACCTTTTTCTCTTCAGGAAATATTATAATTCAGTTGGTTTCTGTAGAAGCCATTATTCTAATAACAATATAATAATTGCATGCAGCTGTTTTCCTTGTGTTTGGATTCAAAGGGACAGAATTTACAAGCTGGTTTAAGCATCCTCAGTCACCCAACTTCAATGGAAGTGTGCTGATTTATGCCAGCGATGGAGCTGAACCTACAACATTCATCCAGAGATCACATACACATGCTCCAGGTCGTAATCTCTACCAACTAAAGGTATTATCCTGCTAACAAATATGCACATATTTTTATGCTCGTACACTGAGTAACCTGGAAATTTTATTCCTGGCAAAGTGCTTTAAGATACCTGCTCCTGCTTTTTGATGAAAGCTGTACAGAGTTACAGGAGTGCTCCTCGCTCAAACCCGATGCATCTTTTGCCCCTACCTGGCAGCCCAAGAATGGTGAAATAAGGCCGGCACTCTGTAAAGCCAGAGCTCTGCCTCACGCAGCTCCTCCACAGCCCCTGATATTGGAAGACAGCCGTGACTGGGTTGTCATACAAGTCCTGCGTGCTCCACATATCCATGGCAGTGGACACGATGCACCCCGCAACGCCCAGCGATGACACGATGAACCCCATCACCTGACAGACTGTTGTGGACATGGTGTCTCCCCCAGAGAGAGGAGGTGACAGCCCAGATGAAGCCGTAGACCTAAAGGGAACACTGAAGTCCTCTTGACTGAGCCACCAGAAATGCAGCGGCTCTTATCAGATTGTTTCCATTGAGTGGTGTGTTTGCTCAAAATGTTTTTGCAAGATAGTCCAGTTTCACTCTCGCTGGGTAGGTTTGTGCTGGCAGGGCCAGAGATATGAGCCTTTGTCCTTTAGAAGTGCTTGTCCTTCCCCAGCTAAACAGCCATGCTTGGTCAAGTGTTGGGCAACCCACTTGGAACATGCGCCTCCCCCTCCTATCAAAATACTTAGATGTCTGTTAGACTTATCTTGCATGCTTGGCACGGTACGAATGCTCCCGAGTGGAAGGCGAGGGAAAGATTTTGTTCGCAGGTGACCTCATCACCAGCCTCACAGCCATCACTTTTTGCCACAGTATCCTCCTTTCCCCAGGGCACCTTGCACTAACGCAGGTCATCGCTTCCCTGGCTCTGGCTCTTTTCTGACCACTTCCAGAGTGGAAGCAAATCTGCCAAGAGGTCAAGATAGGGGACATTTCTAACCCCAGGACAGAGAGGCCCTTCCTGGTCCTTGCACCGTGAGGGCACCAGCTCAGTCCTCGTAGCACCCAGGAGAACAAATAGGGGTTTTTCCTCCCTTCCTCTTGCCCCTGCCGCCAGTGTTGCCAGGAAAGCACAGCCAAGACTGCCTTGATGCTCGCCCCCCCGCCCCTCCCAGGCAGTGATCCAAGAGCTGCAAAATGACCCAGCAAACCTCTTGCAACCTAAGATAAAGCAATGGCCAGAAAACATGGGGATGAAGGTCCAAGTTAGACCTCCATGGAGACTCCTCCTGATAAGGAATTGCTCCTCTACCTACCCACCCACGGGGCCACAGGGGATGGCCTGGTCTCCTCCCATCCGTGTCCTCATGATCCACCATGCAGCCCCGATGAAACCCACACCGCGAAATGAGGAGAGGCACCTGTGGACGTGTGTGGGGTGCAGACCGGGTCGGGGGGAGCAGGAGAGGGAGGGTACAGAGACAGATCAGAAAAATGCCTTTTTTGCTTGCTTGCAGTGGATGGGGGTGTACTGGTCTGTGAAACGGGATGGGGGCTGCAAGAATTAGGAAATTAATTATCTCTTTCCACAGTGGAGAAGTGCTGGGCTCACGGGAGCAGTATAAATTTGCCATGCTGCTCTGCCAACGCAGTACAGTGAGTTACAAGGACCTTCCAGACTTCACGCTCATCAATTCTGATCTAATACGCTGTTCCAACTGATTTACTTCAACCCTGACCTAGAAACAAATTCCTGCTTTATCCAATCCCGATACCTTTCTGTGCCACAGACACAGTCAATACGATCACTTTGTTATGAAGCAGTGTGAAAACTACCAGGAAGGGAAGTGAGGCTGATTTCTGTGGATGGATGAGTTACAGCAGGGTTATTATGTACGGACTGTTGCGTCTGTGTTCTGGAGCATGACTACCCAGGACATCCCTTTAACACCTACTGGGTCCTGCAGCACTGCAGCGTAATATATTCTGGGCTTGACAAAGCTCAGATATACAGAAGGGCAGAGCTGGAGAAAATCAACACCCACCAAGGCCCAAATTTATAACGTGAGAGCAACTTGCTTCACTGGTCCAAGCCCCAACACTGGGCAGCTTCCGGTTTCCAGGCTGTGCAGCGAGCTGGTGGGCAGCAAACAGAAATCCCTTCGTGCTGGGCTCTGGTATCTCCTGCTGTAGCAGCCAAACCAACTCAAGTGTGTAGTGCAGGGACACAAATCACAGCCACAGAAGCCCGCCTGGGTCAGGCATAAAACCTCTTTGCTTCCAGCAATTTTATCAACTTTAGCCAATTCCACTGACTTTTGCAAGCTTTCTCCAAGCTCCAACATATCTGAAGGTCAGAAGATGCCAGCAAAAATAATAGTATGGACAAAAGCATAGAAATGAGCCCTCAAAAACCAGAGATGACAGTAGCTGCTCTGTTAAAGCACATCCTAGGCTAGAAAGAGGGCATGCTCATAAACATACCGTGTTTAAGATGATTCGTTTTGAAAAATTAGGGCTGGGGAGGAACGAGGAGCCTGGAAAACAGCAAGTGCTAAAACAGGTAGTGCGGCCAGCTCTCCCTCTCCTACTTTACTGCCCAACAGCTTGTAGCAGATAGAGACTCCAGTACTGGGAGGACGGAGAGCCTGCAATTCAGAAAGGCTGATTGCACTCAAGCCATAGAGCTTCCTAACAGCTCTGAAGGACTCCTCTCCTCCTTCAGTCATGTTCCAGGGCTTGTCTTCTTCTTGCCATCTAGTGGTAAGAGACCACATTGCTCCGTTTCCAAGCTAGACCTCTTCAAACTTTGTCCCAGGGATATTTCTCTGGGATGTAACCCCTGCTGCCAGGGCTACTCTCACCCCACAGCATTTGTGCGCAACTGCTCACAGGGCTGCACAGAGAAATGGGCCCAGGGACTGGTTACAGTTAAAAATAACCCCTAGGAAAAAAAAGGGGCAGAGGAATGAAAAGAATAAACACATTTTTCCTTTTTTTTTTTTTTTTTTTTTTTAAGTCTTTATCACTCAAGGGTAAAGGCACTTTTAAAATGACTAAATGACTACTGTTTTTCCCCTAAATCAAACAGTTGGACAATTGCATGAAAACATGCTCCACAACTACGCTGCTCCAGGTGTGTCCACACCAAACCATTGTAATAACTGGACTGAGAGGAAGTAGGAAAGGAAGGTTGAGGTGACTGGTTGTCTTGGCCCAGGGGAGCGACGTGTTTCTGGAGGGTGGTGCTTTCTTCCCAAGACCCATGGTCTGCCACTAACTCATGCAAGAGGTCCCTGATATATAGGCCCTGGCCCCAGTTGCCTGCTGAGGTGGCCTTCCTGGGCACCATGCCCAAGTGTTTGCTTTGCCGTTAGGGAAATGACTACGCCCTTCTCTCTGAACCCTTCTGCTGAGATTGATTGTGTGTAGCTGGAGCAGCTCTTCAAGCCAACAGGGAGATCTGCCTCTCCTTCCCTTCCCCCTGCCATCATTTCACCAGGATCTGCTGGCTTTCACCTTCTCAAGCTCTCTGACGTGGGCCCGTTGGAAGGAGGACAATCCCCTAGCTGAGTTATGAAAAATCTGCATCTCTGCAAGTCCCCCTTTCTCACCCTGCACATCAACCTGGCCCCACAGCAAGTCTCCTCCCAACTCTATCTTACTGCTGCATCCTTCTATTTCCTTCCCTAGTGCTTTCCTTACCTGCCTTTAAGCTTCCTCCTCTTTTTCCCTTTGCAAAGCAACATATTTATTCCCTTCTCAGGTCACTGCCCTTCCCAGGCTCAGTCCATAGACCTTTCTACAGTCTCTCTTCCATCCCTCCGCACACACGCTGGTCCCTATCAGCAATGACTTCCCAATACAAGCATAATGGCTCAAAATGGGACAATGAAGAGTATTTTGGATGAAAGATTAATCCACCTTCCCACACTTCCTAGCAATGTAAATATGCCATGTCCAGCAACACAAGGTATGGGTGCGAGACACTCCTGACTCTAATCGTGTCCTGAGCCAGCAGTCTGCCACCCAGGCAGCACTGCTTTGCTAACCTTTCCTCAGGGATATAGTTTCCACCTGCTGATAGGGCTTACCGCTTCCCACTGTCCCTCTTATTGAAGGGCATCAAAACCCCAAAGCACCGTAGAGGAATCCAAAAACACCACCAACAGTCTCCAGGTTTGTGAGAAAGCACAGATGGACCAGTCTGTCTTTGATTTTTTTTTTGGGGGGGGGGGGGGCAATTTTTCCGGGCTCTTGAACATATTAGACAACCCCAGGCACCCCCAACCCCATAGTAGCTGCTCTTACTTGCTTTCTCAGAAAGTGGAGCTGAGCAAGCACCTTTGGTAACGAGGGTCACGCTGCAGATCTTTAGCTAAGCGGCAAATGAACACCCAAGAGCATTCAGCACTCCAGGCACTGCTGTCTTTGAAGGATTATTGCATTTTGGAGGGGTTTCTATTTGCTCATCTCTAAGCATATTGCCAAAGGTGCTAACCAGCTAGCCCAGCATAATGCCGCTTGCCATTTCTTATGCTCTGATTAGCATCAATCTTGTGAGTGCTGGAGATTCAAAGCTTCCACAGACACTATCCTTGGTTGTTTGTAGCAAAGTTATGGAGAAAACCGACAAACCTGCTTCCATCCCAGCCCTCCCTCACCCTCATTTTCTCTGCCTTTCTGAAACATTATCTTAAGCTAAAATGCAATGCGCTTACTGTTAATGGTCATTTCCGAGCTGTTCATGATAGGGAAAAAAACATTTCCTGTTGCAAAAACTCACCACCCCATTTCCCCAGCACCCAACCCAATAACGTAAGATTACCTGGGAGCTTTATCTAAGCCACAGGCTATGATCACAACTTGAAAAAATGGTTGGATGACAAGATAGCTATAGAGCATATCTGAGCATTTTTGCCAAAGGCAGATTGGACTGTCTGATGCTCATCTCCAGCAACCCTAGGAGATGTCTATGGCTTAGAGTGGTTAAAGAGTAGTAGACCTCTCTCCAAGCATGCACCTGAAGCTCCAGGAGGGTGGGTGGATGCTTGGGGCAGAGGGCTTGCCATGTTACGTGATAACGCTGAGCAATGTCTGAGGAAGGGACGTGATGGGAAGACAGCTCTTCCAAACGCCAAGCTTCCCCATCAAGAAGCAGAGAACTGGACTGGTTTCTACTTTGAGGGTGAGGACATCTGTAGGGATCTGCCCAAACTGGAGAAAGGAAGGGTACTTTGTGACTACTCCCCTCTGCAACCTTTATTTCAGCTCATACCTGCTTTATCTACCCAGGCGTCAACTCTATATTATCTCAAAACTGTTCATGGGGCCCATTGCAACTCCTGAATGTTATCATTGCCTCTCCCATAAAAATCACCTATAGCTCATATTTACTTTCTAATTTGCAAATATAGTTCACACCCTG